ATTTCTTTCTTTATAAGCATCAGGAATACATCAGTGCAGAACAGCTTGGGGGGGGGGGGGGTGTCAATCCCCAATCACCTGCATTGCTCCCTGGGTTTGGGTCAATTCAATGTCCTACCAGGGGGGTTGTGTCTTTTCCTGCTGAGAAGGTGACACAGATCTGAGCTCCCCACATGGTAATGGCAGGGGATTGCTCAGGGAAGACGAGGAAAACCCTTGCTCTTCAACCAGGGCTGGCTTAATTCAGTCATACCACTTCCAAGTTCTTGGGTGTAAATTTAAAGTAACAGAAGGTCCAAGGAGTGATTGTATTAAGATATGGTGTAAATACAGCAATAGTTAGTTCAAAAAGATACAGAAAAGTCTTACATTTGAGGGGTCAAGGCTGGACTTGAAGGAGGAAGATGCTGGTAGTGGCAGCTCTTCATTCTCTGTGCACTCAATTTAAACAAGCTGGAGATGTTTGACAGAGAGATGGAAAGAGCAAACACTGTAGGCAGGAGAACACTTCTGCTTCCGTTTTTATATCAGTGTCAGTTTCCCAGGGGAAGATAAACGGCACAGTCCTGATGGCCAAATATTGTTTCTAATCACAGTATTTGGAAAGGGAAGTACAAAGCAAGGAGGCCAGCAGCACTGGATTAATCCTTCAATTACTTCTTATACTGGGAATGCTGAACAGTCAGACCTCTTCAGCCTGCAAACCAGGCTATTCATTTCCTTCTCTTCTTCGGTTAAATGCTTGTTAAACTGTCAATGAAGAATGCAGGTGAGAACTGGAAGGGTATTGCTCAGCCTTCCAGAGGAGGATCTGGTGAAGCAGACAGCTACGGTTAGGCTGATAAAGAGGCTTCAAAAAAAGATTGGTTTGAAGAGACCATAATCAGAAACTATTAGAATCTGATAGATGTCCTGAGTCAATGACAGAGACATTTGCTGAGGTATCACCCCATCCTGGGAAGGATGCTGATGGGACAGGCCAGGCTGCTCCTGCAGTGGGGACAGCCACCCTTGCCAACAGCTTGTTGTGGTGGGAGATGCCTGAAGCTGAAGGGTCCTCCTGGGGTGGGTTTGCTGGGTATCATGGAATCATAGAGTCCCAGCTGAGAAGGGACCTTATGGATCATCTGCTCCAATGATTCAAGGCAAAACACAGCCTGGATGAGATGTCCTAGCACCTTGTCCAGCCGAATCTTAACAGTGTCCTGTGTTGGGGTGTCCACCACTTCCTTGGGGAGATTATTCCAGTGGCTGGTTGTTCTCAGTGTGAAGTCAGGGGTGTTTATTGCATAGAAAAGTGATGCCCAAAAAACCAAATTGACCATGGAAGTGGTTTTCCTTTGATAAATAGGCTTTTGCTATGCACTGCAAGGAGGAGCCTGCATGCCGTGGGGTACATCACAATGGTCAGGAATGCCTGACCACGCCAATGGCCATGGTTGAGCAGTTTCTCCAAACACTTTTCTGTTCTTACCACACTGCTGCTCACACTTTGTGCTTCCCTTCCCACCCTGAATTTTAACTTCATCACATGTTACTTTGAGAAAGATCCACATATAAATATTTTGGCTCATTTCATATGCCTTCTGGTATGTTAACACCGGGTCTCATATTTTCTCCACCATTTGGGGAACTTATTTTTATTTTCAAACAAATCTGATACTCTTACCTAAGTTCATTTCCAGATTTGAGTGTTTTAGGGAAAATCACAGGAGCGCTGCTAAAATGACAGTGCTGGGAGAGAGCCTCCTGATAGAAGTGTATGTGCTGGCTGGGGACAAGTTCTCTTGCACGAGGCGTAGACCTCTGCAGACAGAGAGGCCATGGGCAAATAATTCTGGTTTTTACACTGGGTTGGCAAGTTAAGAAAATATAAATGGAAAACCCTTTAAAATAGAAGAATTAAATGAGTAGACTGGGCTAGGAAGGAAGCTGGGATCTGAGGAGAGCAGCTCACGTCCTGGCTCCATCAGTTACCCTCCTTCCCTCTCGCTGCCTCCTTTGAACATAGGGGAGAGTTCAAAGCAATAACCTTACTGTCAAGTCCGTCCCTGTCTTTGTTTGCTTGCTGAAATTTGACTGAAGATACTTGATCCCAAATGCAAATAAACCTGCCTCGTACCCGTCCTGCTGCCAGCACACGTCCCCGAGCCAATTACTTGCATGGCATTTGTCATTGTTCCTAAGCTTTACCTTGGTAATTTTATTTAGACAGGGGCATTTTCTGCTGATAAATCTGGCTCGATTACCAAGTCAGAATATATTTATTAAAACACCAATTAGACCTTGGTCTCTCATCAATCACAACACCTTTAATTCATGCATGGATGCCAAAATTGTTAGAGGCGTTGTGCACGCATGAATGAGTGATCTAAATCAAATTGTCACTTCACCACCATCACCTTATCTTCAGACCTAGAGGCAATCCATTTTTTATTTACTATATGAATAATGTGCAGTATTTTTGAAAGCTTGAACTCTTCAATGTTTTTGGTGTGGAAGGGAAAATATTTGCTTCACCAGGTTGCAAACAAAGGGAAGCATGGAGGCAAGGGCATCAGCCCCTCAGGTGCTCCATGGATAGGTCCCCATGGGCTGGAGGGGATGGAGGCTGGCCAAGGGTGGCTCAGAGGCTGCCTGGCTCAGAGCAGGAGCTACTCATTCCCACCTGCCAATAGTCCTGGCTGTGGTGTTAGGTACTGCTCAGGTGGGGGTCATTTGCTGCAATTAGCCCCAGCAGAAGAGATAAAGTGTGGAGAAATCAACAAAGCCTGAGAACAGTTGAGAGGCTAAAGGTGGAGGGACAAGGAAGAAGAAAGGGAATATGAACTGGAAATAGAAACCTAAAGCTAACAGCTTTAGGGCTCTAGAGCAAAAGAAGCAGTAAGAAGAGTACAAGGACAACAGAAATGGATGAGACTGGATTGAAAGCAGTAAAACAGAGTGGCTTGAATTAGGATGCTCACAGACAAAGGTTGGTACAGCCCATGCATGTGGGGGTAAGGAGTGTCTGGACACTGCCTCAAGGAGCACTCAGTGCCAAACTTCTGTGCCCTGCATTGTCCCTTCCCTTCGAGTAAAAAATCTCAGTGCCTCTTGATGAGCAGTTTGTTGCTAGCTCCGTATCTGTAGCAACAAACCCGCTGTTTGTTATCCTGTGCCGGCCTCACACAGAGCTTTTCCCCTGGGAAAAACAAGAACCCTAAAGTAACCCCAGACCAAACCAACCCCAGGCCTCAGGGAAAGGGCTGTGGAAACTGCAGGGGACAAGGGGAATGGCTTTAACCTGCCCGAGGGGAGACTGAGATGAGCTCTTAGGCAGAAGCTCTTCCCTGTGAGGGTGCTGAGGCGCTGGCACAGGGTGCCCAGAGAAGCTGTGGCTGCCCCATCACTGGCAGTGCTCAAGGCCAGGTTGGACACGGGCTTGGAGCGAGCTGGTTATCTGTGATGGCTGGGGTGAGGGTCTGTGCGCCCCTTCTCACAACAAAGAGACTTCACTGATTCTGGTGGGGAGGTTCTGTGCCCGTTTGATTTTCTGTCTCGGTTCTCTTCCTGGTTTTCTGCACACCAGCAGCCTCCCTGCACAGGGATTTCCTGTTCCCTGCTTGCAGCGGGTTTGTTGTGGAAGAGGGAGAGGAGAACAGAAAAACTGGGAGGCTGATGGTTTGTGTGTCAATTATACATCAGAGTCTTTGCTGCTTCTTCAGAAGCTTCTAATAATAATAATTATAATTAGGGCACTGGGAGACGAATGTGCTGAGATCAGGGAGAAAGCCAGGAAAGCCAGGCCAGAATTAATTAGCCCCTTTTATCTCAGAATCTCAAAGCATTTAGACATTAATTAATGAATTCAGTGGTTAAATCAGTGCGATGTTCAGTTTGCTGGGGGAATGGTGGCTGGTGCCGGGGCTCAGCACCCATCCTGCTCAGCTACGGGTTCTGCATGGGTTGGTGCTGCTGCAGGCACTTCCCCTCACTGCAAAACACAGGGCACTGTCTGCCCCCCTGACAGCACCCAGAGCCGGGATGAGGAGACCCATGCCAGCACTGGGAACTGTGAGGTTCCCCACGAGATGCAGGTCCCTTGGGGATTGAAGCTGATGGCTTCCCACTCATCCCATGGTGAATAAAGGTTCTCCACTGCCTCAGACCCAAACTCGGTGAAATCTCTCATCTGTGGCACTGAGGTTATCCCCGGAACCTCCCAAACCCACCGCTGTCTCCAGCACCCAGATCTCGCCTGGTTTTCGCTGTTCCACCTCATGAATAGATGCATTTCTGCCTCCCGGCTCACCCACTGTATGCCCATCCTTGGTGAATATTCATTAAGTGAAATTAGCATCTATTAGGCCTTAATTAACTTATGAAAGGCTTGTTTTGTGGTAATGAAGTATACACTTTAGATGTGCCTGATGGCAGCTGGGGTGTCCCCCAGCCCATAGAGCACCCCCTGAGCAGAGTCTGTCCCTCCAGCATGGCATGAGGGACTGCACCCCCTCTTCTTCCCTGTGGCTGTGGGATTACATCTGGTGGGTGCCTGTGGCCTAAAGGTGTGCAGAGCATGAGGGTGCTGAGGCGCTGGCACAGGGTGCCCAGAGAAGCTGTGGCTGCCCCATCCCTGGCAATGCTCAAGGCCAGGTTGGACACAGGGGCTTGGAGCAAGCTGCTCCAGTGGAAGGTGTCCCTGCCCGTGGCAGGGGTTGGAGCTGGGTGAGATTTAAGGTCCCTTCAACCCAAACCAGGCTGGGGTTTATTCTGTGATTCTCTGAGTCCTGGAAGCCAAGGGGACCCTGGAGGGAGCTGAACAACACAGGCCAGAGGGGTGGGTGAAGGAGCTCCCAAGTTAGTGGAGATCGGCTCCCAGCCGAGCCCGGTGGAGGTTTCGGTGTCAGTTTGTGGGCACACTGAGGAATGCTCCCCGGGAAGTGGGAGTGAGCAGCCTGCCCCGGGCACAGCGGGGTGTCAGAGCCGCCGCTAACCCGGGTCTGTTCCTCTTGCAGGCGAGCCCTCCCGGTGGTCCTCGTCCCACTGCGACTGCTGCTGCAAGAACGGCAAAGGCGACAAGGAGGGGGAGAGCGGCACGTCCTGCAACGAGCTGTCCACGTCGAGCTGCGACAGCCAGTCTGAGGCCAGCTCCCCGCAGGAGACCGTCATCTGCGGCCCCGTCACCCGCCAGCCCAACATACAGACTCTGGACCGGCCGCCCAAGAAGGGGCCGGTGCAGCTGCTGCAGCAGTCCGAGATCCGCAGGAAGAGCGACCTGCTCCGGACTCTCACCTCCGGCTCCCGCGAGTCCAACTCCAGCAAGAAGAAAGCGGTGAAGGAGAAGCTCTCCATTGAGGAGGAGCTGGAAAAATGCATCCAGGATTTCCTCAAAATCAAAATCCCAGACAGGTTTCCAGAGAGGAAACATCCCTGGCAATCCGAACTGCTGCGGAAGTACCACCTATAGGCTCAGGGCGGGGGAAGCACACGACCTGCTCACCGTTAGAGCAGGGTTCTAAGTGATACGAAAATAATTCCCAATCATAATTATTTGTTAGGTCACAAACGAAACAGAATTCATCTCTATGGTACTGCCTAATTTGCCTCTTTCACCTTAACATTTCTAGTCCTAGGGCAACAAGATTTTTCCAGTCGTGGAAGCACAATGACAAACGCTTTTCTTTGTAAACTCTGAGTCTTACACAAGCTGAATACCTTAAGGGCACATCCATGCCGAGGGCAAGGGATGCTCGGCTGGGGAGGGGAGGCTGCTGCTGCTGCTGGTGGTGGATGTGGCCCATGGGCAGGCAGTATTCTGGTCCGTGGCTGCTGCCTCCCCCCGTCTCCTCGTAGTGCACAGTTTGTTTGGAGGGTTGTACACTGCTCACAGAAACAAGCTATGCCATGACAGTTTACCTTAGCATGTGTATATATATATATGTGCATATATATATGTGTGTATATATATCTCTGTGTATATATATATGTATATATATATCAATATATATTGCGTAAAGATTTTTTGGCTCTCTCCTTATAACTGCACTTTCTCCAAAAAGAGCATTTTTTAGCAGTCTGTGGATGTTCTGTTTCTTCTTCAGGTCTTTGAGGGTTGAACAATAGAAAACCCATCCCACGGGCCCTCTCCTCTCTCCCTCTTCCCCCTCCTTCTCTGAGACTGTAAACGCATTTCAGTGGAGACCAGGGAGCAGTGTGTGGGGCTTTGTTGCCATCAGCAAAATACTCCATTTGTTTTTGATGATCTTGTTCCCCCTGTGTCCTCCCTGCGCCTCTTGTCGTGTTTCTCAAGGCTCTCCGGTACCAGTGGGTTGGATGCGTGCTGATCCCAGTTGGAAAGCTGTAGGAATTCTGCCGGTGCTGGTGAGGATGGTGGAGCGCTGCAGGCGTGCTTGGCCCCAGCTCCTGCACAGAAGCCATCCCGAGGGATTACAGGAGCCATGTGCAGTGCAGTGCAGTGCCTGGCAGGGGATCCTCGCTGCGGGACGGGAGTCGTGCACGTTCCAGGAGGCAGCACACGCCCAGGAGGAGGTACCCGTGTTCCCGTGCCCGCAGACACCCCGGCTGTGCCGCTCCCATCCACGGCCGTGGCAGGGCGGGAGCCAGCAAACAGTGCCGTGAGCTCCTGTTGGCTGGGGTCCATGGGCAAGGCTGGTCCTGCATGGATCACAGGGATCACATCCCGGCGTGCAGAACTCGGGGCATGGGAGCGATGGGGTGCAGCAGGCTCTCAGTGCCAGGCAGCGCCTCAGCAAGGGCCGGAGGGTGCCGGGTGCTGGCAAGTGGTCCCAGACAGAGGGCTGGTGAAACCCGGTGCAGGCACAGGCTGGGGGTGAGCTCAGGCTGCCGAGCTATGGAGTGATGGAAAACTGAATTACTGCACTTACCTGCTTTGTCCATAGCTGAGTACGAAGCAGCTGCAGTATTTGAGGTAAATTATTTGTTTTCTAAAGGCATAGGAAGAAGGAGATATTTTATATATATGTAAAAGTACGGGAAGCGATAGTGCTGGTAACACAAAGCACTTTGACTCTAACTTCTCTAGTGTCCTGCAGGTTCCAGGGCTTCCCCCCTCTTAACTTTCAGAAGCTGCTATGGGAGGTGAAGTCAAGTCTGCACAGGTGATTTCTGTTCTCTTCATGCAAGGTGATGTCTTCACCCTTGCAGGGCTCCATCGTGCCCGCACGCCTGGCTGGGACACCACAGGGGCCCTGGTGTTGGGTCTGCACGTGCAGAGGTTCGTACCCACTGTGCAGCTGCAGCTGTGCTTATTGTGAGGTGCAGATTTTACCAGCAGAAAAGGAAGCAATACTTGTCCAGAGGGATCCATGGCATGAGCTGGCTGTGGGGAGGGGGAAAACCCCCCCAGCAGTGCATGTCCCAGCCTTTGGAGCATGGGGCTTGGATGTGGCAGCTTGGCATCATCTCTGCTGAGGCCTTACACACAAGGAGAGTGCTGTGTCCTGCAGTGAGCATGCAGCACTGGTAACAGAGTGAGCTTGTGAAGCGGGGGCTGACCTGGGAAGCGCAGGGCTCGGTGAGAAAATGCAGCACGTCTTGGGATCAGGCTCTAGAACCAGTTCATGCCTGAAGCGCTGCAGCCCTCTGCTTACCTGCTCATTTTTGCATGGAAATCTGCGCTTTGCACAAGACCCGTGGATTTGGCTGCTCTCAGTTCTCTGTTGGTTGGTTTAGAGTATTTTAATTTTCCTACTCAATATTTCCCACATCTACCCCCCCCCCCCCCCCCCCCCATCACCGAGCAAACAGAACTGGGGGACAGACAGGGCTCACCCTCAGTTTCCAGCTGTGTGTGGTTCGGGACAGGTCACCCCTCAGCAGCAGGCTGCAGCTAAAACCTTGTCCTCCCCACCACACCAGATCATCCCCTTCTCTTTTTAATACCACAGTTGTTGGGGCTCTGAAATGTGTGACAGCGGAAGAGCAGGCACTGTGTGTGTGAGTGTGTGTGTGTGTTCCAGTGACGTTCAGGGCGCACAGGATTGCGCCATGATGAATAACTGTAGAAAAATTAGACCAAATGAAACGTGCCCGAATGGGCTTGATTTATGTGGCCTTCATGTCTTCAGTTTTAGATGAAATGGTTATTACTCTCCAGTGCTACAGAAATAAAGGTCTTAAACTGCAGTAATCACAGGCAGGCCCAACCTGCCAGGAACCACAACCAGGATGGGGCCAGAGGAGAGCGGGTGCCTGGGCATGGGGATACACGTGGGTGTTCATGCGCTCTTGTGCTGCTGTGTTATGCAGGGATCTCATTCTGGTCCAGCGTCATGTTGCAGTTGTTTCACAGGAGCTATGGGCTGTGCTTTGAGGCTTTGTGCTGGCAGGCTCGAGGTGGTAGAGTCCCTGCTGCCAAGAAACTCCTGGGCAATGGTGGGGAGCCCTCTCTCCCTTTCCAGTGGGTCTCAGCTGCTGGATGCTGCACAGCATCCATTACTGCTGCTCCAAGTCCCCTTCTCCCCCTCCTTTCCTTGCTGCTTTTCTCTGGACCACCAGTACCCCACTGCCAGAACTGCACCCCAGCAAAGAGCCATGCTTTGGGCACCTTGTTCTGCCACCATCAGCTGGGCACTGGACCCTGCCGAGGGGCAGAGACAGGCACCATGGCCATGGGAAATGCTGCCCTCCAGAGCCCCTTAATTCACTTGTGGGTGGCAGCAGGTCAGGAAAGAGCAACCAGACCGTGTGCCAGTGCTGATGGTCCCTTCCCTGCCCAGGCACAGAGGTTTTCTTATCACAGGAGGGCAAGAAGGTGTTAACTCTGGAAGACCTCTTCCCCAAAGCAGTACAAGTCCATACCCATACCTACAGTTAGATACATGACCGTGGGAGGAGGGCAAACACTCCTGCCTTCCTGGCATGGTTGCTCTCCCCTGTCTCAGGATGTGGCACCATTGACTGTTGGAAGGGGTGGGAGAAATTCCTGTACTAGGTGGGTGTGGAAATGTTACAGCTGAAATGGGGTGATAAGGGAAAGGTGGGAGACAGGCAACGCAGTGGAGGGAATTGAAGCTGGAATAACAGGTTGTCTGTAAGGTAGCTGGGTTTGGAGCTCTGGGAATATTCAGGTCAATTCTCCTTTCTTTCAGTGAGAGAACCTGTGTCTGTCCCTAGGACATATTTGGTCACTTAGCGATAGCAAGCCAGAACAAAACTCAGTTAACAGAGTACTTTATTCTTTCTAAAATAGCTGGGGAGCAAAACGGGAGTTGAGCTGCTTTCTGCACACAACAAAGACCTAATACAGGTTCTGTTGAAACTAATTTGAAACTTACATTGACTTCAGTGGGACTGAGACCCCCCTAAAACACCTTTTCTCAAGAAAAACGGGCACTTACACCAGTGAGGGTGAGGGGAAGCCATTAAGCTCTAGTAAAGCTCACATCCACTTATGCTTCTTATCACTTCTGTGTATGGCAAAGAGGTCTGGTGTTTAGGGGTCTCCTGCGTGGCCAGGCTTTCACTGCCATGGTCTGTTCGTAGTCTTGCTTAAGGCACTGAGCTGAAGGAGTGAGGGGAGGCTGATGTGCCCCTTTGTGAGCACACGGTGGGCGAGTGCCTTACGGGGGGGACCTGAGCAGGGCTCAGAGCATCAGGGGGAGACCAAGGGAGAACATGGGATTTACATAGACCTGTGGGGACCAGACTGCTTTACTTTTCCCTAAATCACATGCACGCACCATGCAGAGGCCTCACAGCTCTCTGCAGAATGTTTTGGGGTTGAAATCCTACTTTTGTGAGTCCGTTTATTAATTTTACTTGCAAAGTTGGGAGCTGAAGGAGAAAACAAGGTTGATTTTTATTGGCAATGACCATAACATGGCAGAACCCTTCAGCTGCACCACACGCAGCTCTCCAAGCCCCAGGAGAACACCCCCCAAGTTCTCACCCTGGCCTGAAGCCCTTCCCACCATTGCGAGTACAAGGTGGACTTGACTTGCAGAGTACTTTATGCATAAGGCCCCATGTGTACCATGGTACAAGATAATTGTCCAGTCTTATGGATAGTTTATGCCCCAGCGGGGTTTTGTAGATTAAAAGAACAAAAAAAAAGCACTTTTAAATTTAAATTATTTATATTATAAAAAGACACTCTTTATTTTTCTTGGCAGCGATACCACTTAGCTGAGGATCAGTTTATGATATTACAGATTTTAAACTATAGCAATGCGAAAGCAAACGGGACAAGGCAGAACTGGGAGCTGAGCAGGCAGAAGGTTCGGAGGAGGCGGCAGGGCCCACGGCACCGGAGCGGGGGGGCTGGAGACATCCTCACCTACTCGGGGCCTTGCTTCTGGTACATTTTCGGACCTCATACAAGCACTCGATGACTTTGCCGAGGCTGAGTCAGTCTGTTGCACATTGACGTAGATTAAGTGGCACCCACTGAATTACCTCTCTACTTTCCAACGTGGTTCACTTGTACATACGTGTGATGTCAAACTGTTTACAGGTTATTTTGTGCGTAATTGTGGAGAAAACAAAAAGTTTTAACTACAAATTTCAAGGAATCGATTTTACTGGAAGGTGTTTAAAGAAATGAATGTGCTTAATACAGTATAGGCATCATTGGTAATGGTCTCACATGAATGCATGTATCTCTGTGTTGTCAGTCCCCACCAGTGAGGTTATTGGCAATATTCTGCAGTCTGTGAATAGCAAATATGCATCAACTACTGTGACTCTGACAAATATAACTCGGTAACTGTTTCTACTGTGGTATGTAAAAAAGAAAATAACCATGTAGCTTTTAGCCTGCTGTATTTCCCTGGTACAAATAACACCATGAAAGAAAGAACAGCTTGGAAAACCCAACCGTGTCATAGTGACCTGTGTGGAGTCATTCCTGCAATGGCACCTGCCAGGTACTTGTGATTCAGCTGCTAAAAAAAGACCTGTTTCTAGAGGCTGGGGGGTGCTGGTGGCAGAGATGACCTTGTGTTCAGAGTGCTGATGGGTGAAGGGAACTGCTTGGTG